ATGACATATCTTGAATATCGTCCTTATTATTTATCACTCATTTGAATGGCATGACTAAAATAGTGTATCTCATCAAAACACAAATCCATATTGCGTCTTTAATATCAACTTTGTTATAAACAAAATTTACTAAAATGTTTTGTCTTCTATTTTAGCTATGTTCAATACAATAATCTTCTTTTCAATGGCCTAAACTCTGTCCTCATAAATGCTTATATTCTAATACAAAATGATGTATATCCATCGCTCAATAAAGCAAGGCAATTAACAATAAACAATAATTATGTTGTTCAAACTCCTTACGGGGTGGCTGAATATACATCAATTTATAATCTTCATCTTAAAAATTTCTGTACAATATCACAAATATCTTATAGAATCAAATCTACCCAGAAGGAGAAGAATCGGGAATTGATCCAAGATTACTCAAGAAAGAAATAAAGATGACTAAGATGGTGGCAATGATTCTCGTATATTATATTTTCGCATGGACACCTATTTTGACGTACATGTTTGTGGGAATACATTGTCCGACATGCTATTTTGATATTTACATCGGGTAAGACATTTATTGATACATGAATGAATGGATAGTATAGGCGCTTGTATGATTGGTCGGATGGATGAATGAATGGGTGTACATTATTCTAGTCTGGGCAGACGAGCATGATGGATGGACTTCTGTATGAGCAGAAGTTCATACATAATGCAATTGTTGTTTAAATATATAGGTCTTTTAGGGTGTTTGTTTCACTTCTTAAACAATAGCCACGAGCCAAATAGTGGTATGACAATATTTGTATTGCGCAATATAGTCATTAACATACACAATGAGCAGCAAAGAACACAGTAATCACCATTGATGTACTCTGGGCGTAACTACAATCAGTCGCATCGGCCATTTTAAATAATTCTATGTTGTTTGGCACTGATTTCGTCAATAAATATTATATAAAAAAAGATTATGTGTCAGTCAAACGCTTTAGACAAATCAAGATAGGATAAATAGAATCAACTTGGGGACTAACTTTTATGGCTTTACTAATGAAATCAGTTCAACTTTATTTGTGGCAGTAGATTAGCTATGTTGCTTCTGAAACCTGCTCAAATTACTTATTAAAAATAATAAAGGTATCAATGAAATAGGGCACTAATTGTTTACATAACTAGAGCTATTTATTGAAACAAGATATATTTCCTTGGAAACACTAGCGGTTACAAGGCTCGTAAATTTGAACTTTGGATGACCACGTCCGTGTAATGAAGCAATAATATATTCACGTCACTTTGAACTTTGGATGACCCCATGCAATGTGCACTAACGAAACAATAACATATCCTAGACACTATTGATTTAATGACCATATCATGCAAATGTACATGAAGGATTAATATGTTCACGTTAAAGCCAGTAACGGATAGTCCAGGTAGAGTACGGCAGAGTAGGACCATCGCGTAATTCTAAAATGACGAACTATGCAACGCGCTTTGCGAATTGTTCGGTGCGTGAAATACAGATTTGTAGTGTGAAAAGAGAGACATTCGATTCTATTTGTCGTTCAGTTATTACTGGGACAATTTATGTGGTGTCGTTTTGTTCAGTCATCTATTTTACGAAAGTTATGAACAAAATTGTCGTCTTGTTTCGATATTTTGTATCGCGTTAATGGTAGGCTAAGTTAGAAGCCGTGATTTAAAACGGCAATCAAAAAACTAAAAATGCGTAATTTTATTCTGGGAGAAAATGCCAGGCAGAAGAGGAACTAAAAATGACAATTTTTGCATTGTAAATAATTGAAAATATCTGGCAGTCAACGCTGCTTGGCAAGATAAATGCCATGTGTAGATACTATTAATTGCACAATCCTAGCACTAACTCGCAGTACTCAAACCTGCTTTGTCCTGCTCAGTAATGACGCCAACAACGTAATTTGTCTTCATCTTGAAAGACTAGTGTGGCTATTGCCTGATTTGAAGGTTATATAATCAATTAGATAATCTCTGTATCACTCTTTCATTTAAGGGGCACTGTCAGACTGATGTTGTACAGCAATTCCTGTATAAATGTCTTCATCTACGCTGGAAGCAGTTCAGAGTTTAAAAGGTCATTCAAGCTGCTAATCCTCAGAATGTTCCTTTGTGAAAATGATGGAAACTTCGAACATGGACAGTCGAGCCAACCAACTAACTCTGTACGATAGAACCAACCACAAAGACGACAATTATTTTTTGAAACGTTATCTTCGATGTTATAGATAGTTGTTTTTAAAGTGATGCGACTCATCGTAATGATCGGTTTTATTTATCAAATTCAAAAGTTGAATTCAGCATCGAGAGAACTTTACACTTACTCAAAAGAAAAAATATTTTAAAGAAAAAAATCTTCGTCATAAATGTTGATCCTATTATCGTATAAAAACTTGCTCGCGGGCTTGATTATACATCGTGACACATTTAAGTCAAAGTTCTTCATATTCGTGATACTGTTTCTGTGTTATTGTGATAGGTGGCATTCTTGTTTTAATTACGCGAAAGCACTTAAAACGGCGCTCGATTATGATTGCAATCAGAGAAAACATGTTCTTTACTTTTCAGCGGTCACCAGATATTTACATACAACTCCCCACCCAGTAGGCAATTACCGAGGGACTTTGCAACATCCCCAGACACTTTCCTAGACCGTTGTAGACGCAATAAAGTTACATACCCCCGCCCACGTGAAAGTTAATCATGCTCAAACAATCAAAATAAGGATCAATTGACTTTAAAAATTAAAAAACTTATTATTAGAACAATACTGGATTGTTTGGTATGTGTAGCCTGTGATTGTTCAGCTTCTGTTTTCTCCTGCACCTTTGAAATAGTTGCCCTGACCCCTCCTTATAGCATATAATAAAATTCACACAGTTGACAGATGATCAATGACAATTGATTGAGTAAACCCTGTTGCCATAGATTTGTCATGTTATTTTATGTCTGCATATGTCAATACTGGTTTTACAGTACATGATTACCTGAATAAAGCTTGGTTTCCATTGATATATAAATGTCTTCTGTTTACATTACTCCTTGTTGGATGCCGCCGGGGGTTCTTCATCCAGTTCTTCAATAATTTCGACAAGTGCTATTTATAGCATTCCTCCAGCTATTTTACAATTTTGCAGCTTGGTTGTTTAACTTTCCACGCTCTCCGCCAGCCCAATTTTTCAACTCCGGCTTAGTTTTTCGACTTTCCATTTTCAGATTTGATGATTTTCGAAACTTATATTTGATCTATAAGTAACACTGTCGTCAGAAAACCCAGAAGTTACATAGGCGTGAACAAAGACGGCCAACAGGAGAGTTCACAAGGGTGGCGATTATTCGGTGCCCGAATTCAAAATGTTCGGGCACAACTCTGTTATGTTCTGGCGTCACGAAATTATACATGTGGGGGAGATCTGCTCACCAATCTTGCGCCGAAGTCGCGACCTTACTAGGGAGTATATACCCTCTGAAACGCATTTTGAGGGGGAAATTTTGCTGATATAATCAGCTTGCTTTTAGATTTTTTCGAGAGGCGATTTTTTTGCATAGTGTTTTGTTTTATAACTTCACAGAATAGAATCCCTCTTACCGTATCCTATTAGGAAAGTAATTGAGGTCTACGTCTAAACAGATGCATCACAGTCGTACCGTTGTTTCTATTTCATCGTCTGATCGCACGGTTTCGTATCCGTTTATTCCTCTCTCCGCAAATATGTGGAGGCAGTAATGTACTAGTATGCTGAGACATTATACCTTGGAGACTCAAGATGGTGCAAATAGTTTACTATAGTCAACCGGCGGCAGTACCCCTTCCCCAAACACGTTGCTAGATTTCAGTGACATAGAGGACACACCATGCAAAATCGTGGGTAAGGTGACAACGTATTTTGTAACAGCTTACTTTTACTTACTTGAAACTAAGTTCATGAATATGTTTCTAATAATAGTTTATAACATTGTATAAAGTTTTGGTTACAAATTAAATGTAAAGTGCGTGCATATTATGAACAAAGCAATCCATTAAAAAATATCACATCCCTGGTTCAGAAACATATATTTTGTTGGGAAGGTCCTTAATAGTTTTGAATTAATAAGGCACTTCCAGATCATGTCTATATGACATAAAATTAATTATTTATTTTTTTACATACGTCTTGTATCATACTTTTCACTGAAGTGGACATATTGCGGAATACAGTCGACACAATTATGCTACGGTATCCACTCAAAACACAATTTTTTACACACATGTGCATTTGTTTTGTGATCCAATTCAAGGCCCATTGCACTAATAATGGTTCATTTTCATTCAGGAATTTCGAAACCACATCTCGATCGTGTGTTGAAAGATTTCTTTCATACTGGACGCAAAACGCCGGGAACAGCCGCTCGTGGCGCTGTATAGTTTCAATTTTTTTAGTATTTCGCAAAGGTGGGCTTGATTCGTGTAAAGTACAGTGCTACTTGCTAAGTCTGGTAATAGCCCCGTCACACCATAACGTTTTGGCCAGCGTTCTCTGAACGTTCCAATCGTCCAATTTCCGAGCGTTCTGGAACGAGGTAGACACATCCAGCGTTCGATTAACGAGTGCCTAGCGTGTTCCTAACGCACGAGGAGCGTGTAATGAGCGACCAAGTAAGATACCCCTGGAAATCATTTACGTGTGCTAACGTGTCACTAGCGCGCGACGAACGACGTTAAGTGAGCGTGTTGAGCGTGTATCTAACGTTAGGTCGTTAATTTGACGTTAGTCGCACGCTTTAGTGCGCTAGGGGTACGTTCAGCGGTCGTCGACAGGTCGCTAGTGAGTTGTTCACTGCAAAGCGAGCGATTGGTAACAACTAAGTAACGCTAGAGCAACGACTGACTAACGATTGTCGAACGCGTCTAACGTTAGCAAAACGATCAAAGAACGTTATTTAACGTTTAACAGCGTTTAAAAATAAACGTTGAAGAACGCTGGTCTCAAATGAGAACTTTTGTGCATGTTCAAAACTTTTTTTTTGGATCAGCGTTCTCCACCGATTCCCGACGATCAGCAACGATTACCGACGTTCACTAGCGTTCTCTCGGCGCTCTTCTGGCGCTGTCCCAGCGACTTTGGGCGACTACCAACGTTTCCTCAAACGCCAGAAAACGCTGGCCAGAACGTCATGGTGTGATTGCCCCTTGACCAGTTTAGTGTGGTAGAAAGCGTGTACAGCCTTCTAATAACCACAACAGACAGGGTGGCTTTCCGCGTTTCATAATAAAAGCTTTCTATCAATAATTACACCTTAAAATAATATTTATGAGATATGTCTACGTCATAACCCCCTTAAAGTTATTAGCATACTGTGTACGCAGTGCGCATGCTTTACGCTACTATGTATTCCATGACGCATGCGTGACAGTGCCGTGGTATAGTTGGTAGAAAGTGTACGTCGATTTTAGAAGACTAATGCCACATACCCGCTGTAAACTGTGGATCTGTTTCCCTGTGTTGTTGACATTGACACATTTTAAGTTTATAGGTTTACTTATGCATACACTTCCACTTCGTGAGAGGATGCTATGAACTTGATCCGTCGAACACAAAAACAGTGTGTTGTTATCACGTGATCTGTATTCAAGTCTCAAAATACAGCTAAAACTGTTTTCAGATGTTAAATCTACCAGCTATATGAATATATGGAATACATTTTACTGGGGATTATAACCTACATTGCACAGAAGAAGTTAAAAGTTCTTTTGTTTCAAAAATGAGCTAAATGTCCCTGTTTTCTAAGGTCTACGGTTTTAGTGAACTGCAAAATACAGTCGTCTGCGTGCCACTATTTATTCTTGGAATACAACTTTACTTATACATTGATAAAATACCGTGTTTCAAACTCCGTGCATATGTTGTCGTTCACATTTATCGTCTATATTTACGATATATATTTACAAATGAACAATTATGAGTCTTCTAAAGGACAAACGGTCTGTGGCTAATGAGGGCCAAATGAATTTCTAATATTTTCTGGAATCTAACATTTTGGTTTTTGGCGTAATTTCAACTAATGAATTGGCGGAAAGTAATCACAATTTATATTTTAGCTCTGATTCTCTTAATTATACCTGTGGTGGCGACATTTAGTTTTCAACAATAGGATTTTGAAATGAACGGCTAATATCAAAAACCTACTTTCAATTTGAGACGTTTTGTTTCATTGAATCGCTAGGGGGCCTTTCGGTTATTTGCATATTTTCATTCGAGAACGAGCTCAAGAACGCGCAAAATACATCACCAGTCAGTTCTGTTTTGACGCCCATATAAATTAACACATGCTCGTTTCGTATATGACGTCATATTTGATAACTGATTCGTAGACTAGCTAATTGAAACGAAGATCGAAAGATTGTTGTCACTAAGTATTTCAGTGTTCTTGTCAAACAGGGGACTTCTCATAGCGAGATCAAATGTCGGTTGAAACTCAGACTTTGAATTGGGTCGAATTGTCTGTGAACGAAGTTACGGGATTAATTGCACGGTCCAACGCCAACTACAAAATATTATATCACTCAACACTTTCAAGCCCAGAAGTGCGATTTTGAATAATAATGACTGTGAAAAGAAGTTTCAACAAATGATTTGACTGGAATATAGCCACGTAACGACCAAACGACCAGTTGTTGAATGGTCGATTGAACCGCCACGCAGGAACGCGACGTTGGGCCAAAATAATTGTGTTGTTACCCTCAGCGAACGACCGAAACATATGAAATATCGGGTCGCGTTTTTTCTCCATATACCTCGGTTATTTACGATACCCTTAGTTTTCACGAGTTTAAAAAAAAAATCCGACCGACCGACTCAATTTTTTTAATTTTCCGACAACATAAGTTGTTATTTTTTTGGCCTTGTATTCGTTACTTTTGATGTCTAATTATGCAAAAATCTCCACACGCTGCCTCAAAATCCGGGCTATGAAATATGAAACGTGCCGCTAAGCGGTGGGAAAATACCGCGTACATTGCAGCATTCAGAAAATGTACCAGTGATCGTGGCTTTCATTCAATCAATCTACTCGTGGAAACAGCGCCCTCGCATTGATCATTTGTTTTTATGACGACAATATTCAAAACGTAGTTCCGAACCACAAACTTTGTCGGTGTATTTTGTTACAGTATGTCTGGAATGTACCAGAAAAA